ATTATTCAACAATTTTACCCCTTGTGAAGGCGGTACTCGAAGGAGTGCACCGATATTATCCATTTTCGCACCTGACCTTGAGAAGTTGGAGCAAAATCTGATTATTCTCTGAATATCTGTGTAGTAAAATATTTTTTGAAAATTTAGACATTTTGTGGGAGGAGTACCAGAAGGAGTGGACCGATATTGCCCATCTCCGAACTCGATATAAGTTTGATAATAATATTACGATGTACCAAGTTTGCACCAAGCCAGACAGATAGGTTCACGGACGGACAGACATTGCTAGATCGACTCCAAAAGTCCAAAAACGGATTTTGCCCAAAGAGACCAAGAGGCACGGCCGTATTAAATGATATATATCCTCTCTAGCTCTCTAGGATATAAAAAATATTGGGACTTATATAATACGCCTCTTTAGCTACCCTCATTTAAGATTTCAGAATCCAAGCTCTATCTTAGCTTTTATTACACTTATAGTTCGAATTTTGAACTCAGCCTTTTCCTTAAACTATACACCAATATTAATCCACATGAAATATTTTCAAATTATTGTTTGGAAATGAAGGTATTGTTTATTAAAGTAGATGTAACTCATGAACTAATAGACATACATAACATACATTTACATATTAAAGCCATGGTATTGACGTCACCTTTCACATACAGTTTGCAGAAACACAATTGGTTTACGCATCCCAGGGAACACCAACTACTAACAGAATTCCATTTTGTATATATTTGTATGGATCATATTTTCCTATATTAGGTCAACATTTTGAATGAATATAACGCAATGTCAGAAAAATCAGCTGATATGTGTAGCCTCCATATAATGGATCTGACAAATGTATAGGATTTAGAGAATAGCTTCTTTGGCAATTAAAAAGGGTTTCCGATGTTAAATAATATTAAAAGATCGGTGTAGCCTATCTAAACGGCTTTTATGCTTACTTCAAACTAACAAACGAAGGTGCATCACTGCAAACATCTCTTTCAATTTTTGTTTCAATTTAAAAATAAAAAGCAAAAATATTTAATTATTTATTCAAATACTATAATTTGTTTACATTTTACAATTCAATGGATAATTCATTTAGGGATATTTCATCAATGCACAGGACGACCTTGTTTCTTTTTTTTTGTTTTTTTTTTTTTATTCAAAATATATAATACGTAATAATTTTTTTATTACAAACTTAAACAAAATTGCCCTCAATGTTCGTTCAATTCCGGCTATGATTGATGAATACTTTGTTGCTATATACTTCCACAAAAAAAAAGAGCGAGGGAGAGAAAAAGAGCGCTTCAGTTTAGCAAACAAATTGCAATTTTCTATTTATTTTTGGAATTATTCCGATTGAATGCTACTCATCCGAATAGAAGGAAAATTATTCAATATTTGTTTTACAATAGCTCGAAGAGGAAGGTTATGACGCCGGTACTTTGCATCGTTTTATCTTTTTGTAAGGCTTTATATCAAATTCAAATGTTCTCAAAATTTTCTTTTGCAACATTTCTCTATCGTAGGAAAATTTTGAAGAAAAAAAGCTCACACACATCCTTAAAAAAAAAAACAGTAAGGAACTGTGAAAAGTCGGGCAGGGTCGACTATATGACACCCTACACCCTGCTCTTGTAACAAAAGAATTTATATAAAGTAGATCATACCACCTATCAATATTTGGCTTTAGAGCAGTTATAGCTTGGTTTCGGAGGGAACTAATATCCAATTTTTTAATCGATTTTCACTAAATTTGATGGAGACATTTTAATCTTTTATACCAAATAACATTGCTATAGAGAGCAGGATATGATTTCGAGAAGGATTATATTAAAACAAGTAAAAAAACATTAGGTTCGGCTGGACCGAACTTTCAATACCCTCCACCTTAGGGTAAAGGAAACATTAGTGGGAAACAAATAAAAAATTTTAGACATATTCGTGGAAAAATGTGGCAAAAATCATCAAAATTTTGAATATCCGAAGGTACCGCTATATGGAGCTATAAAAAAACCTACAATACAATACATACATACAATGTTCGGCCAATGGAGCTAGAACCCATTAGAACCCACATATAAAAATTTTTAGACAGATCCACGGAGAAATGTGGAAGAAATCATCAAAATACCGAATATCGGGAGGTACCGTTATATGGGAGCTATACCAAAACGTAGACCTATACAATGTTTCGCCACCGGAGCTAGAACCCATTATGACCAACAAATACCAATTTTCAGATAAATCCGTGAAAAAAATGTGGCAAAAATCAACAAAATACCGAATATCGGGAGGCGCCGTTATATGGGGACCAAAACGTGGACCGATATATCTCATTTTCCATACCAACCATCCAAGACACAATACAAATTGTTCTGCTAAATTTTTACAGACAGACGGACATCCTTAAATCGGCTTAGAATTTTATGCTGATAATGAATATAATTTATGGGGTCTACGACGAATATTGAATGACAAAGTTAATATACCCTCCGTTCCACGGTGGAGAGTAAAAAAATATATATCGGAGCCGAGTTCCACAAAATGTGAAAGGTACGTCCAGAAATTCACTCCATTTGGACACATATTAGCCATTAATTGACCAATAAACCTGAAATCAGATTACAGATATTTATAGGGGAGCTATATCCAAATGTTAGACGATCTCGATTAAAGTTGGCAAAGGTATTTTCGAGCTCTACAAGGTAACTGTGAGGGACGTAAACACCAAATCGGTTGAAACATATGTATGGGAGCTATAGCTATATCTGAACCGATTTTTACCAAATTGGATGTACTTGCTTCCAGACCGAAGTTGGTCGGATGTGCCAAAATTCGGGTCATTTGAACTGATAATGGCCATTTAGTGCACAATTAACCCGAAATTGGTTGAAGATATATATGGGAGCTATATCTAAATCTGATCCGACTATCAACAATTTCAACAGGGTTCGTCCTTGGGCCAAACAAATATCGTTTGGAAAATTTAATCTCAATCGGATAATAAATGCGACCTGCATTTTGTTCACAAGAATACATGGACGGACAGATGGAGTGACATGTATAAATCGACTCAGAAAACGATTCTGTGAGGATCCACAAAAGTAACTATGGGTCTATCTCGCTTGCTTCTCTATGTTACCAACAAATGCACAAGGGCATAATACCCTTACCACTATGTGGTGTAGGGTATAAACAAAAATGAAGACCATAGCCATTACAGCTGAAGAAGAATAAAAAAATCAGAATTATTTTAAAGTTTAGTTGGTCTATCCTCGCCCACTACCAAAGCTGCTTGAATGTGCTTGGGTGGTTTGTGAAGCATTTAAAACTATTTCCACCCAGGTTTTGAAGGCCTTCTTAAGAAGGAGACGAAGGAAGATGATAAAATCATGTTGTCTGCCTTTTTGTGTGAAGCTTTTATCTGTCTTGCTTCTCTTCTTAGTTCACAATCTTGCATTGCACCACTAGCTCCTTTCGCAAAGAAATCCCTCCCCCCCCCATTCACTAAATTTATGTGTAACTATGATTAACTGCATTTGGGATATAATAACCTCGGATGCATTTTAATTTTTAATTAAAGCAAACACCACCATCGTGGAAGCTGATGCTGATACCGATCCTGCTACTGCCGCTGCTGCACTTGCCACAATAAAAGTTTTTGCCAAAATCAAATTCAAACAATCCGTTGTGGCAATAACTTTGCCACGGCAACGAGATGGCGATAGATTGCTAGATTCTAGCTCGAAGCTCGATGATGCAATAAATTAATGCGAAAGCAAGCGAGTGAACGAACGAACGAAAACAAGCAACTAAAATATCAAAAACTAAAAAATAAAAGTTTCAAATAAAATCTAAAACAGCCGCAAGGGATTAATGGCGGTTTTTGAATTATGCAAGAGATGGTTGCTGCTTTTCCCCCTCCAAAAAAAAAAAAAAATTGAAGGTAGAGAATTAATTGGAAAATGATTTTGTGGTGGCTGTTAAAAATACAGATGAAATATTAAATGGTACAGGAATTTTAAAGATACTTTTTAGGTGAATTTGAGGATCATTTAATTGAATGACTACGAAATATGACTTTTGAACATTTTTGAGTTCTCAATTCTATAAAAATATTGAAATGATATTTAAAAGTGCTCCTAAGGCTAGTATACACATTATGTTAAGAGTCATATGTAAACTTTACAATTTGAAATATTTTTTTTTAATTTATCTTTACCACACTCTATTGCATACTTTTAGGCGCTTACAACTCTTCACTATAAAATTATATTCTTCGAATATGTTGAAATTTCTGTGTCGATTTAGCTATATCCATCTGTCTGTTCGTCTGTCTGTCTGTTGATATTACTGTAGACCTCGCACTATATAATATTTTACACAGTGGAATATGTCGATCCATGTTCTGGGTGTAGCTCCAATTACGACTACCTTCTGATTTTTGGAATCTTTAGGCCCAAGTACCAACGAAATCAGAGGCAATAAAACATCGGCTGTAATTTGGTAATGTTTTTACTTCCCCCCGAAACTACTTGAGCATCGGCAGTCCATTGGAACTTCTTTTTTGATGGTAACACCTCTGTTATTGGAAAAGTTTCGATGAGAAGTTTTGCATAAACCCCCTGTACCACCCGGCCAAGCCACTGTGATTGGAAAAATTTCGGTAGAGAAGTTTTGCAGACACCTCCTGTACCAGCCGCCCTAGCCAAGAAAGTCACGGACTTGGTTTAAGAGGCCTGGGTTCTAAAACTGTTATTTCGATAAGGCATGTTTTGGCCGTATCAAATAATATATACCATCTTTAGCCATATGACTGAGGGTATAAATATTCACTTTTTATTGGCATATTTTTAGGCGATTTTGTTAAATTTTATCCTCTTCCGCCAAGATGCCATTCTGTATTGGTTGGAGCCGTTTTTTTTTAGTTTTTTAAAAATAATCCACGTCTCCTGGATCAATAAAAAATTCTTAAGAATTTTCACTTTGTACTCACCTATAAAACTTTTCCTTTTATTAATTGTTGCAGTTATCTGAGCCGACACACCAAAATCCGCCAGCTTTACATCGCCATACTCCGTCAGCAGGATATTGGCACCTTTAATGTCTCGATGCATTTTACCCATGGAATGCAGGTACTCCAAACCTTTTAGCGTTTCACGGCACATATAGGCAATTTGTTGTTCACTCAGGGGACCGGTCACCTGATAGATGTCCTGTAGACTACCACCACCACAATACTCCATGCAGATCCACAGTTTGTCACGTCGTAAATATGAGCCATAGTAGGCTATGATATTTGGATGGCGACAATCACGCATCATTATGATTTCCTGTTGGATGATTTGTATGTCGTCTGTGGGTTCCAGTTTGATGACTTTTATGGCGGCCAGCTCATTGCTTTGTATGCGTTTTGCCTGGGGAGGAAGAGAAAAGAGAGGGAGAATGAGTAAGGAAGTTGAATATCGAAAATCAATAATAAAAATAAGTTGTAAAGATAATAACCTATAAAACCACTTGAAATTTGGCAGACCCCCTTACCACTGCCTCTTTGGCCCATAAAAATCTCCCAATTTTAATATCATTTCAATTTTTATGACCCTTAAACGAATTTGTTGTCACCATTAAAGAGCCCATAAAATTATTTCAAGATATTGCTCAATGTTCCATCCATTAGTTTTTCTCCAAATTAAGCCAAAATTCCACCACCTCCAGCTGTGGTCATTTCCAAAACGCACAATTCCCCAAGACCTGCCATGGCAGGATAGCAAAAAAAATAGAGATAAAATTTTACAGCACAATCACAGTTTTCCATTACCAACGAAATTCAATTAAAAAATGCAAGATAATGAAATTCATTTGTGCGAGGGGGGAGTGGTGTTCACATAAAAACTCATCGAAATAAAATTCGCATTTTATTGCTTGTCTGACCCCACTTCCCACCTTCACCGCCATTTCTCAGTACCACTTCATTTTGAAAGTGAAAACATAAGAAGAAAATTCAAATTTATTTGGTGTGGTTTTTTCCTACATAAATTAAAGTTTTTGCCTGGCGTCCTTGGTGTATATTCCTTTGCCCTGCCCGCTCCCTCTCCAGCCACAAACCATGGGAGGACATGAGTCGTAAATGATAATAAACTAGCAAAAAAGCAGTCAATTCGGCCGGGCTGAACATTAAATACCCTCCACATATTTTGAACGAATTTGGAAACTTTCAAAAAAATCCGTTAAAAATAAAGCCGTTATATTAGGATCTATATGAAGACGTGGAGCTGTATAGGCAACTTCTGTCATAAGCCATTACAATATTCAAAATAACAAATATAGGGAGGTACGGATATATGGATCCTATGCAAGGTGAGATGAAAAACTGCAACTAAATTCAGACTGCTGTCATTTCTAAGCCATTCGTCCGACAGTTGTTAAAATTATTCCCGCGACAGCTCATTATATTGTTTACAATCGTACAAAAGCATTTTGGTGAGAATTTTCCAGAAAAAAGTTATTCGTGATGGAATTCAAGCGTGACAGTGTGATTTCTTTTTATTTGGCTGGAAACCCACAAGTGGCTATCGTTAGAGCACTCCAGCATTTAAATGTGAATAAATCTTTTGCGTCTCGTACCATCGCTTGTTATCGTGTTACTGATAGCGTAGCCCGACGTCAAGGAAGTGGACGGAAGAAAACAGCAATATCAGCAGAAATGGTTAATGGAAAAAGTGAAGAAGCGACTTGATCGAAACCCGCGTGGCAGTAGCCGAAAAATGGCTCCTGAGCTGAACATATCGCAATATTCCATTCGGCGAATATTGAAAAATGAGCTCGGTGTAAAGCCATTGAAATTCCAAAAAGTGCAAGAACTTACACCGCAGCAGAAAGAAAATAGACCCAAAAGAGCTAAAGAGTTGCTTCGCTTGGCCGAAAGTGGTGAACTGCCGAAATTGGTTTTCTCCGTATCCGATAAGAAAACATTCGCTGCCCAGCAGTTTGTAAATAAACAAAATAATCGTGTTTACTTGCCAAAGAGGTCAGCTGAAAATGTGCACCTTCGGTTGGCCAGCAGAACTCAAGCGTCGTCCGCAGTGATGGTGTGGGCCGCCATAACATCGGAGAGTCGCTCTCTGCTCGTATTAATTGACCGTGGCATCAGAATAAATGCCGATTATTGTCGCGAAAATATTCTGGAGGGTGTATTAGCTAGCTTTGAGCACGCAAACTTTTTGGCCGCAGACCTTGGACATTCGAACAGGACTCAGCAACATCGCACTCAGCACGAGAATGGTTTCAAAATGAGTTTCCTCGCTTCATTTCTAGCGCTCAATGGCCACCAAAATCTCCGGATACCAATCCATTGGACTACTGTTTCTGGAGTATTTTGGAAATCAAGGATGGCACTAAAAAATACCAAAGCGTCGATCACCTCAAGCAAGCGATTCGGCGGGAATAGGCCAAAATACCTTAGAGCAACATTCGGGCAGCGTGTGATGGTTTCATTGGCCGTTTGAAGGCCATAATTCGTACCGAAGGTGACCAATTCAAACAAATGATATTTCCGATAGTTTTTGCTTTCATTCAATAAAATTTAAAAAAAAAGTAAAATTTATGGCGTTTGACTTTTTTGCAGTATTTTTGTTGCAGTATTTTTATCTCACCCTGTAGGAAGGACAATTTTCTGTCGCAGACTTTATTACCTATTAGTTACTTCACATACGAAATTTCAAACCATTTCGGTGAATATTGTACCTGAAATCGTCAAAATACCGAACATATGGAGGTACTGATACATGGGGCCTATACGAAGACCTGTACCTACATAGACAATTTTCTGTCATAGACTGAAGTTCCCATTACGAACTCTAAACACGAAATGTGAAACATCACCGGTGAATATTGTCGCTAAAATCATCCAAATGCCGAATATATGGAGGTACCGTTATATGGAGGCTATACGTAGACGTGGGTCTGCATAGACAATTTTCTGTTACAGGCTGCAGTACCAATTACTAATTCTTAATACGAAATTTGAAACAACTCCGGCGAATAATGTCGCTAAAACTATCAAAATACCTAAGATAGAGAGGTACTGATATATGGAGGCTATACGAAAACCTGGTCCTGCATAAACAATTTTCTGGCATAGACTGTAGTATCCATTACGGACTTTAAATACGACATTTGAAACAACTCGGGTGAATAATGTCGCTAAAATCATCAAAATACCGAATATAGGGAGGTACCGTCATATGGGGGGTATGGTATGGAGGGTATACGATATCGTGGACCTATATAGAGAATATAATTCCAGGAGGTTAAGTACTCCGAAGAAACTCCTTATGTGGATTTTCATACAATTTCATTGAAAATTTTGGCTACAGTCATCAAAATACCAAATATCGCAACATTTTAGTTTCCTATCTTTATTCCTTTGGACTCTAGCGTGGTTACAACAGACGGACGGACGGGCTGGGCTGAGCTAAATCGTCTTAGAATTTTATCCTGACCAATAATATAAATCGTCTTAGAATATTACGCTGATTTAAAACATATATACATATACTTTGTTATGTGTAAAATTATTATTTCTATGAGTTACAAAGGGGATTGACGAACATAATATACCCTCCATACTATGTATGGTGGAGGCTATAAAAACTCACACATACACAGAAATGTCATCACACTAGAAAAATATTTTTTTGGGAAAAAATTGTCATTGTAGTTTAGCCCGATTAAAATTTGTTGTTTCCCAGTGACTGCCAGCTGGAGTGGGGGAGGGAGAGGAGTGGGAGTAGTGTCTGTCGGCTAAAGAGTGAAAACTCATCTTCCAAACTGATGGAGGGCGACAGGATATGCGCCAAAAAATCCATTATTTTATTTGCAATTCACTAACGACCACTTGGAAAATGGTACCGAATGTCCCCCCTCCGCCTCGACGGAACTCCTCCACCAACTATTTGTGGGTGAATATTTTATTTCCTTTTTTTGTTGTTTTTTTTGTACAGCTAAATGTTTTTATTGTCAATATGGCTCTCTTTCATGCAAATGCATGAAAAATACTGCAGCTATTACTAGCAAAATAGTGGAAACTTGTGTGACACCACTGGCATACGCAGCAGTTTGATGGCGTTGGTGAGGTGATGGCAACTGAAGTGTCATTTGGGTTCAGATGAAAAGTGTTATTCTCAAAGACACTATGTGGTTACTTGGAGGGGCGCTTGGTTTTCACACTTACGAGGAGACATTTGTGAAATATTCCTTTTGTTTGAAGGAGTGCTGGGGCTCTAATATAATAGAGGGAAAAATATCTTGTAGCTGAGTCACAAACTAGCGAAGAAATCCAAGTCTTAATGTTATCTAACAATTAAAGACCAAGATTGTACATCGACTTGATTAAAAAGGGAAGAGGGGGTATAGAAGCAAAATACCTCATAGGAAGAAGGAAATATGTAATAGTAGGTGAGGTAGAAATTCATAATAAGGACAAAGAGGCCGAAGGAATGTGCAAAAAATATAATTAAAATTTAAAATAGTTTAGGAGAGAGAGATAGAGAGAGCGATCAGGTGTTTATGACTTCCTCAAAAATGTGGTACATTTATAAAAGTAACACATTTATAACTAACTAGCAAGTGGCCGCTACCTCGTCAAAGAAAAGTCCACCTCATAATTAAACCCAGCATATTAGCTAAACCCTTGCAGAATGGTTCCACATTCATTTTTTTTATCCAGAACTATTTCAGGGTCTTTTAAAAATAAACATATCTAAATCGTAGAAATCCATAGCTATATCCCATCATTGGCTTTCACATCAAATTTCAGAATTCCAGCTCTACTCTAAGACCAAATCCCATAATTATTTCCATACAGTTATAATACACAAGAACAAAATCATCTCCTTCTATCCACCCCTTACGCCAACATTGACCTCGACACCAAAAATTCCGAATTCCATCTCTATCCCAACCCAACACACATTTAGTGTCATTTTGCACTTTTCGTACGTTCATAGCACCACCTTCTCCATCCTTAATCCATATTAAATTTCCGCATTCCAGCTCTATTCCTTTACACATATACGAAATTTGGAGGCATTTAGGACTTTTTGAACAATTATAGTACGCTTTTTTAAAACGATCTCCGTACATCAGTCCCAGATACCAACAGAGACCTCAATGTCAAATTTCGGGATTCCAGCTCTCCCATTACTTAATTTAGTATCATTTGGTACAAAACAAGCTCTTTTTCTCAACTACAGACACCAATAGAGACCTCAATAACAATTTCAGGATTTCCAATTTCTACTCCTTTACCCAATACCAAATTTAGTACCATTTAGTACGCATAATCAAAACTCAAATTTCGGGATTTCTGCTTTTTAATTTCCCCCATTACCAAATTTAGTACAATTAAGTACAATTA